TCTTCGTGTATCGGGTGTCGAAATGAATTCTTTCCGAGTAGATTCACGTAATTGATTCAAAGCCGTCACGATGGTAAGAAAACTGGCAAAAGGTCATCAAGAGTAACGAAAGCTGTTTCAATGATTGATCTGTTCTCGTTCTTTTTAAATCAAGTTTTGATCGTAGCCAAAAGTCGGAAAGAATTCATTTCTACACCTAGTACCTTTCTCTCGGGAAGCTACTGGAGTGCTTTTCTTCTCGAATTTATGCACTACGACGGCGGATCAAAGATCGACCACTCGTGACACGTGTCTCGTTGCGCCAGTTTTTTCTTTTATTCTTCGCTATCAATTCCTGTCGAATGGTCGTAACGCGGTAAAGAGTGAAGAGCCTTCGCACAGATAACCAATTACTGGTAGAGGGGAACAGACCGCGACAGATGCGACTCGACGTGATGCGCCGCATCGACCATAATCGTCGGATTAAAGTCCAACTTCACGGATCGGTTAGATGCAATTAAGTAGATCGTGCATGGTCCAGATTGCGTGGAAACTTCGCGCCAACTCCCATTGGGCCACGCTTGAATTTTGCGCGCAATGGATCAACTGTTCCTCGCCGTGATTGATAAAGAAGTGCTTTTCTAATCCGGGGCATTCAAGGTAGATTTCTATTGAAATGGAGAGCAGGCTGTGTGCACTTTTATTCGTAAGTATGAGGAGACTCACTGAATGCGAAGCAAACATAAGGTGTCGTTACAATATTATTAAAACCCTATGCAAAGTAATTCTTATGAAAGATGTTGTTTAGTAAAATTATAGGAATATCGTTTTAACCCTTCAACGCATACATCCCACTTGAATAAAACATTCATCTCAATTTAATATCCTTTACATTCACGATGATCGATGTAATTCTTGAACAATCGTTGCAAAATTATTAAGATCCTAGAAAAGCTAGTCTCATGAAAGATCCGCAAGTAAATGTGCGTAATTTTAACACTTTCGTGACCAGTGAGACGTATACGTTCCACTCGAGTATTCGCACAAGAATTGATTTCAATTCAGTGTCCATTACATTCACGATGATCGACAGAGAAAGAAAAAATTCTTAAAACAATTCCGTGCCGAAAGGGTTAAAACAAATAACCCTTGCAAAATAGTAAAACTTACACTTCAATCTAATTATTCCGTCACAAATATTTCACTGACAAATTCGCAATTTCCTACCGAAACTTCCATACTCTCCTGTTCTTCTCCAATGACAATAGTCATCGAGCCACACCGTGCCACCCGCTCGCACCACCCACTTCGCCTGGTTTACCGGCCGAACGATTCAACCTCGTTCTTCCGTCAGACCTCTAGATCGCGGAGGGGATTAACGAGTAAGTCATTGAATGATCCGTGGCCGTGATCTCCAGGCGCGATAACAGGCAGCACATGTTTCCGGTAACTCGATGAAGCAAACAATGCCGTCCGGCAGAAGAATAGAGAGATGCGTAAATAAATGTATGATGTGGTTCTGAAGGGTGAATGGCGTTTGGAGGGGCCGAGGGTGATGTATCCCCCGTGTTGCACGGGCCAGAGGCGGCACGGTGGAGGCTCGCTGGGGTGTGAACGCAAATCAATTTGCGAGAGGAACCCCGCTGGCACGGCAGCATGCAGCCACCCTTCGGTGCCCTTCGTGTTCCACCGCCTCGGGACAAGATAGTTCCAGGATGGTGGCGTCCTTTCGTCGCGCTGCTCGATCAGGGCCGCCTTCTTCTGAGTGACGTTAGTTAAAATCGCGCTAACGCAGCCATGGGAATCGATCGACAGACGTGAATCGAGCCCCGGGCTATCATCGACGAATTACTGCCGTGCACATCCTTTTTCTGATCGGTACATGGAAAGTGGTTATTACAAGTTTCATTGAGGAGTTAAAGGAACTGTAAAGGGAGCCTGAGATACTGAAGAAATCTTAGCTCGCAGACAGGTTTTATGTACGTGAAAACAATAATCGTTCAACTATTTTTTTCGTTATAAAATTACTTTATTTATGGACTGATCCAAAATTTTTTGTCACGAAGGATACAGGTTCGAAGGATTTTTAAAGCGATGACCATAGTTTTCAAGATCACGTTCGATTTGAGGTGGGTGAGGAACGTCGTTACACTCTTTTCACCTCAATTTATTAATGGTCGGCGTACAATTGGTCCAGAAAATACAATCGTTTACTTTGCTAATTGTCCCGGCGGCAGCGGTTCGGCGGGTACGTCGCGATGGTCGGTAAAGGAACAAACTCTCTGGAGGTGTAGGCGTACTGGGTTTTTATATTGTTAGGACAGGGAGACAGGAGTAGCGATAGATAAAGATAGAAGTGGAGAAAGTGGTGGAAACGGAAAAGTCCTCGTGCGAACCTGGATGCCACATGTGCGCTTCTTAGGCTGCTCGAGGACGAAGGCAAGTCTTAACCCGGGGAGAGACAAATGAACGGAAGCTAAAATCTGAAGGAGTTGAAAAAGGGAAAGATCGCGTGGAATAATAGAACGACGTTCGGTAATGGTTTGTTGACGATGACGTACCCGCCACAAATTTCTTTAGGTACAGTTCCCATAATACATACTTTGCAAATTTTTGTGGAGAGGAGGATTGAGTTTAAGTTAATAAAAGCTTGATACACTATTAATTTCGCTACAGGGAAATCTCCCGAGATTAGAATTTAAACTCGTTGAAACTTTAGAACGCGAAATATCATATCATTCTCAATAGAAAGAGAAATATTCAATATACGATTGCTCAGTCGCTAGTTTGCATCGAACCTACCGTGTACCTACCACGCACACGGAATAGCAAGAAAATAGGAAAAGATCGTAAGCCTTGAGAAACGAGGCACCACGAGGCTTCCGCTGGATTGGATGAAATTAAGAGGGATAAGAAGAAGGTACGTGACCCCGAGCGGTCGCCTCTTTACGTTAGTCAGCTCGGAGGGATAACCAGGTTAGCCGAACAATGAAAGTAATCGAATTTAACGCCATCTCCTGAGTGCGCGGCCAGGATTTCCGGCAAGTGCGTCCGAAATTTGTCGTCTTTTCGAAAGGGACAACAGCCACCAAGTTACGGTGGTCGTCGATGAAACGTCATTGTCAAGGATCGATCGATCTCGACAAGTAGAACAGCTATCTCGTCTGAGTTTCCTCGTTACTAACGAGTCACGACGCTAATTATATTTCGTTTAGCAGGAAATTAGAAGAAATTCAACGAAGTTAGACCAACAGTAAATGAAATTAAATCGAGGGTGTATTTTAAGAAATTTACGTCGAAAATCTTTATTCAAATTTGATTTAAATTTAGATGAATCTTTGTCAATGTTAATACGCATTTATGCTAGCTTTTTACGAAGGTTCTTCGATTCTGGAACCTTCATATATGCTTTGAAAAATTTTCTGTTCAGATGTCAAGCCGGTACCGGAAGATGTGTCGTGGATAAAGCACACCGAAATCAGTGTCAGGCGTGCCGTCTGAAGAAATGCATGCAGATGGGAATGAACAAGGACGGTGAGTAATTGCATTGAATATTACCGGAGATATTCGTTAAGCACGTGTTCCTTTCACCGTGAAAATTACCTTCTTTCCTTCATTTTCATCGGTTTATTTCTCGTTCTGATTAGGAAAAAAATGAATATATATTTGGCGAACAGTCGGTAGTAAAAGCAAGTTCATTCTAGATTAACACATTTTGGACAACTTCTGTTGTTTCGAAGATGAAGAAAACCAACAATTTATGCCTCGCACGTAAAAAGCACCGTTCTCCGATCCTCGAATCGACGAAGTTGCTCGAAATGTTCAAATCTAATGGAAAATTGTACAAAAAAAAACCTTCATTCTGTCGAGAACGATTAAGTTTTCTTACCTAAACAGCGCTTGAGAGAAACTCGTTCTAAATAGAAACAATCTTTTTTTTTTGTTACGTTTCAAAGAACATGTCTCTTCCACTTCATGGATGCTGTATGGTGAGCATAAAACAATTTCTTTCCTTCTAAACGATCTTATAAACTAATTAAATCTCTTAGAAAGAAACGTTTCACGAAAATTCCATTGTTTAAGAGAACAAGCATCCATGTCTGATTTCTAAACGTTGCATTGAACCAAACGAAAAGAAAAGTAACAATAAACCTACAACCAAATTATTCCCAATAAAAGTCCCCAAAGGCATTTGCATCCCGTCGAATGATAAAACAGTTCAAATTTATAATTTGCCAATCAAATTCCTCCAATTCCCTCCAGAGGAAAGTCACGTAGAATGTTCGCCGACTCGAAGAGGAGACCTAACCCTTAAAGGACAAAGAATATCGTTTCTAACGTTGATGGTAGTCGGTGGTTCCCGGTTATCGATACATTAGATCATCCGTTTCCACAGGTAAACCCGTATTGTGGGAATCAATCAACGCTCGCGTTATGTCGGCGACATAAATAACTGGATAAAGGCGGAGCGATTGGCACGGGGTGGCGTGGTCCGTTCTGACGGCACCGTTCGATTCAACTCTTAATGCCTCTGTACCAGCGAAAGGGCGCACCTGCCACGGCAAAAGAGCATTTCCCCCTTTTTCCATCGGCTCTTCCTCCTCGTCTTCTTCTTCTTCTTCTTATTTTCCCCTCTTCGCCGTTGTCCCCGTGGAAACTCGTCCCGCGAAGCACAGCAACTTTCTTATTGCCGAACTTGACGTCGTAAGAAGAAATACTTCCAATTGGATCCCGGTTCCCTTGGCGACCGGAACGACGACGTTTCTATGGAACGTCGACCGTTTCCCGGGGAAATTAGATTGCCCAGCGTCGGGAGTTACGTTCCGCGGCGTTATTGCGCGAACTTTCACGATTCCGTCGCTCATGTGACAGTACTTTTCTGCGGAGGTAATGGATGTAGACGGTGGTTTGATTAATACGCTTTTGTGCAAGTTTCTGGAGAGCCGTAGACGAATTGGTGGGACGTGTCGTTTTATGTCGTCGCTTCCTTCTTGGAATTTTCTTCGGGTTTTTATCGATGGTTTGGCCGATCCCGATGTTTAACGCTGGAACGATAGGCTGAAGTCAAAATGACCCATTAGCGACGTTTCAGAACGTCACGTCGATATAAAGAGAAGTATGCATGCATTTTTGTCGTTGTGCTGTCTTTGTCGTAGTGAATATTTTCTTCGTTGTTAAATCTCAAATTACTGAGAAAGTTGCTCTGTACAGGTTGTATCGATTGAATCAGGTAAAAGAAATATTAATAAGATCTTATCTTGTCTCCACTTGTCCCTTTAATAGACCTCTTCATACAGTCTCTCACGAAAGGTTTGATAATTCGTGATAAGACAGTATTTAAGCTCGTTCTGTTCGAAGTGTTTCCCTTTTATCAAATCTGCAATAAATAAGAAAACTTTTCAACATCAAGCAAACATGCTCACAGCTCCTCAAATTCATATAAGATCCATTATCATTGAAACATGTAACAGTTCTCCGCCAGAAACCACAAATCTAACAGATCCACGAAACTCCCTCGATAATATCGACAAAAACACTGTTTGATCGCATATCCTACAAAAAATCAGACTTTTATCACAGAAAAATTGGATCGAACCAATTCGATTAAATGATCGAATGGAAGAGCGAAATTTGCATGGTCAGACGAGAGGTAGCATACAGAGAACAGCGGAAATGATTATTACCGCGTGCAGAGGAGGCGTTCGATGAGAATCGCGTATGCAGAGCGGCGAGACACGGAGCACGCGGTGGAGATTCGGGGCTTTGCCGCATGCAGAGCGGTGCGGTTCGCCGCGGCAGGCGAAACGACGCCTGGCGTCGTAAACACCGCGGTCGTTAGCGATGGTCGCGTGGCCGTCGCCAACCTCCGAAGGGTTAATTGGGGGAAATAAACGTATGCAACGTGCGGCTGCTCGATCGGTGTACGCAAAAATCCTCCTATGCTTCTCTCTCTCCTCCGTTGTCTGTCTCGCCCTTTTTCTCGCGTTCAAGGGACGAGCGCTCGTGCACGTTGCGACACAAGGAGTTCACTGTGTGTAGGTGGAGTGAAAAAGAAGCCGCGTAAATTGTGTCATAACGGGTGGAGAAAGAGTGAGACAGGGAGAGAGAAAAAGCGGAAGAAGCAAAGTGAAAAAGGGAGGCAGACCTCCGACGGCGAGCTTCACGCAAATGAGAGTGAAACGATCTGTAAAAGGGCGTTTATCTCTCCCGGTGTGAAACTGCACGTCCGAGACGTGAACACTAGATGGGAAGGGTTCGGATCGGTTAGAAGTCTCTCTATTTATCGAACGAGAAAAATTAACGATTGCAATTTGCGAGGAATTACGCTGGAAAAACGGTGCTCCCTCTTTGGGCATGGTGGAATGCTCGGTTGGATGGTAGATTGATCACCATGGACTTTCGATTGTTCGAACAGTGCGATTCAGAGGTACTGTGCTTGAACTGGAGTACGCTATGAGAATATATCGAACACTTCTATTTCTTGCTGTGGTGAATGATAATTAGATTGTAGAGAAGAGATTTCGCCTTTATCGCGATACACAACGTTTCAAGTACCAAAAAGTGCAATTTTCAGGAGAAATGAGAAACGAATTATTTTCCGGCAAAAGGTAAAATGTAGAAATGAGTACCTTGAGAATATACTATTGCAACACTAAGAAATACAATGGTTCTTGTATACACGGTTATGGTATTCTCACTTCAGTTTCAGACTCCTCAATTATTATAATATTCAGAGTAGATGACTCATAATTCCACAATTCTTCCACAACGAACAGTTAAATTTCATTGCAACACATCGACCTCCAATTACCGCTACTTACAGAAACGTCGATCAAAGCAAGCTACTACCGGCAAGTTAACCATCGTCACAAATTACATTTCACTCTCGCCTCTCAAGAAAACGCCGCCCGAGGCGTTTTTAAAACACATCCGCAACACTTGAATCGGGGTAGGTACGCGTTGAAAAAAGGAAAATCACAAAGCGGCGGTACGTGAACAAAAAGAAGCGAGAGAGAGAGAGAGGAAGAAAAGAGAGCAAACGGTAGGGGGAGGGGAGCGGTGTGAAAATAAGCGGACTGAAGAGTTAAAAAGACAAAAGGGAAAGCGCGCGCGTTACACGCGCGGGCAAGAAAAATTTCCCGGGGACGCGACCGGCGGAAGGGCGTTTATCTTTTCCGCCGGGAGGATAAACGGGAGAAAATGTGAGAGAGCGAGGGCGAGCCAAGGGAAGAAAGCTCGGGAAGGGAAGGACAGAGACAGGGATGGAAAAGGCTTGACGAAGTAGGAGGATCCTATTAAGCCGCTCAGCAGGCAGCACGACGCGTAGGTAAAGCGAGCCGCGGCACGCTTTTTATTATTACGAAATTACTCTGTAGCAACCGTGCCGCGCTAAAGGGGAAGCTAGAGAAGAGAAAAAGAAAGAAGATTCTGCACGCTGTTACACACCACTGAGTGCCCTAATCGCGGCGCCATTAACATGTGCCCGGCGTCACGAGTCTTCTCCCTTTGGGGACGCAAGTGGAACCGTTTCTACGACCGAGTCTTGACAAACTGTCGAAGGTGTTGTCCACTTTCAAGAGTACTCTTACCAATGAAAATTGAAAATTTATAAGTGTTGTAATTGCTAATTATAGCGGAATATTATGGCGGTACGTTGTTAAATTTATGAGAATTTTTGAGGGTAGATATTCGAGATATTTAAACTTTAACGCTAGATACTAGAATAGGTGTATGATGTTCGGGATGAATAGGTGCATTATTCGAAGTTTCTTATAATAGAATAATGAGAGAAATGATATTTTAGTAAAATAGTTATGCCCCGAAAGTTCATTTAAATTTTCTCACAAAAATCTTGAGAAAAGACTTCACCAAGTGACCTCACGAAAATTAATAATATGAAAGTGAAATCCATCGATATCATAGAACAAACTTTCTCGCAATATCACAACGAAACGAAGGATATTTTAATATAATACTTATACCTGACCCATCAAGTAATTTAAAATTTTTACACCGAGTAAAAATCCCGAGGACTTCGTACAAATTCAAAGAACCATGTTTCATCAAGAATAACACTTCCCCGAAGACCACCGATTTCAAAGCTCAGAACATGGGTTAAACATTAAACGAACGAAACAATATCCCTCTTCCGTTCGCGATTCTTCCCGTTAATTGAACCCCAGAGAAAGTACTCGCGAGGCCACTATCGGCAAGAGAATATTATTCCATTTTCCCCGTGGTCCATGGTGCATAAGGTTGTTCCAGAGGAGGATCCTCTCCTGTCAGTCGAATGGGAGTTATCGAACGGCAATATATACAAACAATAAACGCGGCTGATTTCTGCACGTCTGTTAAATTCACGCTTGTCAGTCGCAGGCCGCTGGCGTGATATAACGGTGCGTTACGTGAGTTTGACGAGAGGGTGGTGGCCAATCGTTTGTTCCCCGATTAATCTGGCAAGACTCGTCTAACTGGCAAGCTCTACTAATATTTCAATAACCAAGAAAATTTTCATCAGGGGGGGGGGGGAAGGAGATTCTTTGGAACGAACGCATCGTCGGGAGATATTCCTCTAACGACAATTGACCGTCTCTTTTAGTTAATCTGTTTGTTCGTACAACAAACAGAAACCTTGTTCTCGGAACCGTTGATCTTGCATAATGTCGCGTACATCGATGCCATTTAATTTTAGCACGATCAAGCAGCGTGTACAATTTATCGACGATATCCATACTTGTAGATGAATCGTTATATTAAGGACAGGAGTGATGGAAAATGGAAATCTATGCTTGAGCAGCTGGTTATTCAAATAACAAGGGGACGTTTTGGGTTCTGTGAATCGAGGGTGAAGTTGATTTGTGGAAATTTTCGTGGAATATTTAGCATTTTAACCCTTGTAACAGTAATTTTCATTATTTTTACCAGGTTCACATTCACACCTTTTTATTAAACTTGAAATAAATTGTTTACACTATCATTTGCGTAATTTGAAAAATAAGAATTGAACCGTGATCTCTCAAACCCTACCACATTAATGGTAAAAACGTAGATTTAACCAGCTCTGACATAACTCTCCAACTATTATTATTTCGTAGTTTCTCAATAGTCCAAATTTTCTACAAAAAATTTTTCTATATCTTAGCACACCAAGTGGAGAAAATTTCCCATTTTTTCCCCTGAGAATTTCTTGCACTACACGATTAATAAAAAGACTAACACGTTGAACACACGAAACGGGAAAAAATGATGTTCGTATATCGTGAATTCGTCATCGGAAAAATTCGAAATGATCGAAAACGGCAAATCGGTGTCTTGCAGATTGACTAGTAATTAATCATGACGTGTCGTTTACCATGCGCGCGTACGCAATTTCGAAAAGACATTACGCCCGATAACAGTGACTGAAGCGCGCGCGAAGTGGTTACACAGGGGCGTGTAATTAATTCGTGGCTGCAATTAACGCCTGTTATCGACGTTACATCGAAGGTGTGCGCTTCTGTTGCAGCGGTACAGAATGAACGGCAACCCAGAAACACTGCCACCATCAGACCAGAGGCTCTCGTCGAGATGGACCAGGAACGAGCGCTTCGAGAGGCTGCGGTTGCCGTCGGTGTGTTTGGGTAAGTTATTTCTTTCCTTCTTTCACGTCTTGCCTTAATTAATTGTCCACTCTATTTGTGAATTTTAATAAAATGCGTAACTTGTGCATAATAACGATTTAACTTCAATGCGCTACTGAGCAAAGTTGATAATTATAAAAGGTAGTTGCAAGAAAATAAACAGTAAAAGTGTAAATTGTAAAATACGAGCGTATGAACTTTAAATTGAAAGTGGAACACCTTTCTCGTGATT